AACAAGTAATTAGTTAGTTACAGTTATATTTCAAGTAGTTTATTTCTATTTCCATACAGAACTAGCCATTATATTCTAAAGGAGCTAACCTATAAGTAGGGATTCCTAGATCATTTGTACGTGTGATGATGTTTTTCCAGTAATTGAATCTAGTCTAAATTCTTTAGTCCCTCTCGATCTCTCTATTCTCTCCTTCTCTTTCTCTCTCTTCCATCTTCTTTCTCAAATTCTAGAACACAAAGTAATTCCATAAGGCATGTCACTGGCTAAATGAAAACCAATTATGATAAAGGCAGAAAAAATCTTTACTTATCATATTCCAAAGAAGCAAATGAAATCTATAAAACCTAGGGTTTGTTCAAACATATGGAGAGAGGGGGGAGATTAAATAATATCGAAAGAGCTAAAGATGAGACACGCTGCTTACTAGGATATTGCATTGGGGATCAAAGTAAGCACTCAAGATCAAATATTTTCATGGGAAATTAACACAATTCTTTCTTATTAAGAGTAAGCTGAAGACTAACCTAAGATGAGGGAAGATCAAAGCAAGCAGAGAAATGAAGATAAGCAAACTAAGAAAAATAAATTCTAGAACAAAAAGGCCCAATGTAGTCATTGCACAATAGAGTTGTTGCGGTGATGCTAGTTCTGAATTCTTGAAAGGCTTTCAATCAATCACTCACGTAAGCAAATGAAACGTCCAATTTCCCTTTCTTTTTTGAAAGTCAAAAGTCTCTTTACGTATATTGGATTTTTTGGCTGAGGAAAAAAATTTGTGATGGGCCTCTTATTTTGTGTAGGAACTTGGAAGCCTTGAATTGGATCTGGGAAGTGGAAAAATGCAAATTTAATTGATATGTTAGCTAGGCTTATTACTACTTTGATCCTCAACGTAAAGTGAATCTTGTGAGTGGTTTTTCACAACGTAGTAAATAAAAGTTCGAATTCTCATTGAGAGATGAGTTTACACTTAGTGTCCAAGAATACCTTAGACAAGATCAACTCTAATAGGATGCCAAAATATCCTTATCTTTGAAAACTAAACTATTACTCATATGGTCCTATTTATAAGGTAGAGGAAATTTTTTTTAATTCTATTTATAAGTCACTTTATCAAATTTATAGTATGAATATACTATTTTGTCTTTCATTTATTATAGAGTATATGATTTTTTTTAAAAAAAAGGTGTATATATTAAATAGGAAAAAATTGAAAAGTTGTTATATTTTAAAGAAGAGTTAATTCAATTTAAAATTTTTCTTAGTCTATATGAAATATGTAGGAAGTGCCCTACAAATAGGACCAGAAGAGTACATATTAACCATCAATTCTTTTGTTGTGATAGATTTATCACAATCTCTCTCAATATCTCAATTAAGAAGATAACACATGATTCTCTGGTTAAAAAAAAAAGAAGATAACATATGATTTGGATTTAAACATATTAAATCAAATTATATATTTGTGATACTCAAATTATTCACATAATATATTCAATCCCTTATTTAATCGATATTGTTTATTTAGCAAAAGCATCATATTAATTAAATTCCCTTGTTCATTAAGGCCGAATTCATAATCTAACTGAGACAAATTAAGATGAAATAATTAATATATAATTGTGCTGAAGATGCTAGAACACGGATCCCTTATTGGATTGGATGGATCACAAGTTTTGCTATGACTCTTTTAACCTCAAGGTGAGCAAAGGCTTCCAAAACTTGAGAGAATAGAAAAGTGCTATTGGGATCTAAAACTGGCTTCACCTGCTTCACCTACCCACTTTCTAAGGATGGTCTCAATTTCTCCAACATACCTTCTTCAAACTTGTCCAATATGTATACAATTGCAGTTGAAGCACTTCCAAGAGGAACTATTGATATAAGCTTACCATCTTCTTTAACAGCCTTTACTGCTCTCTCTCACTATGCCCTGCTTCACATGACACCGATATGATAAATATGTACAATGTTAGTCTTGTACAACTCAAGCAAGGTATATGAATAGTAAATACTACTACATTAAGTCCTAATTATAAAACCTCATTTGCAGACTATAAGGTCTTATAATTAGACCAGAGGTAGTATATCGGTTTTAACTATAAAAAGTTAGATAACTAATTTGTAAATATTTAAAAAATTAGTTGTGTCAGTTATTTATAAAAAAAATGCATTGGTTTACTTATAAAGTATCCTTTCAAACGTTTTTATTGAAAACTATTCCCTTAATGAAAAACCATTTTAATATATGTAATCAATAGAAAAATTTTGCAAAAAGAAGATAAATTTATGAGATAAAGTGAATTAAAATATTACATTTAAAATGAAAGCAAACTTTTTTGTTTTTTGACCAGTGAAAGCAAACTTTTCTATTAGCTTATGTCAACTAGATTTTTATTGTCTATCTTGATTAAGACTTCAAAACAATGTCATTTTATTTGAGATAATATTATATAACTTACAAACTGAGCTTAATCTATTTCAATATTATTAACTAATGATAAGAAGTTTTAATTTTTTATATTTATAGTATCACATATTAGACGGTTGTATAACATTAAATATAATTTTTTGAATAAAACATAAATTGGTTTAAAAAACTAACCAATTGCATCATTCACAATAGAAAACTTTTCGAAAAAGTCTTTGAATTTGGATTTTGTATAATCAATTGACAAATCAACCCCTACCTCTCTCAATAGTTTTAATTTTTCTAGTGCTACAAGTTGCTCCTATATATCTTGGATGCACCAAAATCATGCTTAGCAAGCTAACTCAAATAATAGAGTTTTTTTTAAGAAAAAAAGAAATCAACTTTCACCTTAATTTTCTATTCATCCATATATTGGGAGATTATGAAATAAGAAATCCATAAATTTTGATATGATACATGACAAAATGAATTAGCATAATTAAAAATCACATGGCTAATTAGATATGCTTTTTTAATATATTTGGGGCAGGGTGAGAGAAAAATATAATTGTGCTATACCCATTTCTCATTTTTATAAATATACTCTGTTAATATATAATTGCATGTAAATGACGTTAAATACTTCTTTCTTTCCTTTTTGTTAGTCATATTTTAGAAGATTTTGATATTCTTATTTGCAAGCCTTAGACTTTGCAAAGTCTAGAAGTAATTAATATGCCTTTTTCCCCCCTCCCAAAAACAACCTTAAAAAGGGTTCTTTTAATTAATTAATTAATTGAAAGATGGAGCATGGGAAAATGAGAAAAAGTATCAAGGGATAAGGTGCAAATTTGTTTTGGATGTTTTCAGTCAGGAGCAGTAGGCATCTAAAAGTTTTTTTAGATACTAATTTTTTCTAAATGTTTAAAGTCATAATAATTTTGCCTCGTACCACTAAAACTATTAACGGTCAATATAATTTTTAACGGTCAATGTTAGTTTTTTTTATGGGGACAAACTTGCACTTTAACCAAAATAATTTTGAAAAAATTGGGGATAAATCTCCATTTAAAAAGTTAATTGTCGAATGAGACCTGACCTTCCATAACAATAAGTTTAGAAATTAAAAGACCAAATAACCTGAGTTGCACATGCTTGATTCTAATTGCATATTACATATATTTAAATTGCATATGAATTCTAATTGTATATCACTAATTTTAATTACATATCCTTGATTCCCAGTTATATATACTAGATTGTAATTGCATATTGCATATGTCTAGTTGCAATTGCATATCATGGAACCCCAATTATATATGCAAGATCCTAATTGTATATTGCATATGTCTCCTTGTATACAAATTTAATTGCATATAACTCATCCTAATTACATATGCTTAATTCTAATTGTATATTGCGTATACTTAGTTTTATATAAGACCTAATTGCATGTCACTGATTCTAATTACATATCTTTGATCCCAAGTTAATATGCTTGATCCTAATCACATATTGAGGATGTTTAGTTACATATATGACATCATTGTATATTTTGATTTCTAATTGCATATACTTGATTTCTAATTGCATATTGTATATACCTACTTGTGTATAGGACTTAATTGCATATCACTCATCCTAATTATATATCCTTAAACCTCAATTGCATATGCTTGATTCTAATTATATATTGCATATGCCTAGTTGTATATAAGACCTAATTGCATATCGTTGAATCCTAGTTGCATGTGCTTTATCTTAATTGTATATTGCATATGCCTAGTTGCATATAAGATCTAATTGTATATCACTAATCCTAATCACACATTATTGATCTCTAATTGCATATGTTTGATCCTCATTTGCATATTGCATATGCTTAGTTGCATATAAAACCTAATTATATATCACTTATTCTAATTACATATCCTTAATTTTCAGTTTCATATGCTTAATCCTAATTATATTTCATTAACGGTGTTGTGGTAATTTTTTTCTCTTTTTAATTCTACAAAAGAACCTCAAAAGTTTAAGTCCCATTCTACAATTAATTTTTCAAATGAAAATTTATCCCTAATTTTTTCAATAAGTTTGCATAGAAAAATAACATAATTATGAAATTATCGACTAATTTTCCTTTTTTCCCCTTAGCAACTAATTTTCTTAATTTATGTGAAATAAATTTTTATTTATATTTAATTTGGGTGTTCATTAATCATCATCTAAGTGATGAGTATAGAATCTGAATTGTCTGCATCAAATTTGGACAATCCAAATTTAATACAACTTTATTTATATATTTTTAACAATTTGATATTTTAATGTATGCATAATTATCTCTTAACTGTTAGTTTTTTAAAAAATAAATTTTTATTAAGTCATATAAGTTGAGAATTTTAAATCTAGGTTGTTGAAACTTCATTTAGATAGTATAGATCTCACCGTAACAATAAGCACATGGTACTTATTATTAGTGTAATAAACACGAAAACTAATTTCATAAATTTATTGTATACAAGCAGCCAGATACAATAAATAAATAAATAATATCTAAATGACTAGGGTTCCTACACCACCAGCACTACCAATCTTTCTTTTGATTGTATACAAGAATTGATTGGCCATGAGAAAGTCCCACGCACTTAAGGCTTCCAAAAGTAGTCCCAATGGCAAGAGGAAGGCTTGCAGCTTCACAAAACCTCAGATTAGGAGACTTGTGAGTCAACAATCTCTCTTCTGCAACTGTATATTGAGCCAATAATGATCCAAACTGCTTCAAATGTTCCACATCTTTAATGATATCACCATACAGTTCTTCACCTTCTTTAAACTTATTCACTTCCCTTTCCACTCTCATTACCACTCCACCAACATCAAAACTTGGTGTAGTCTTCTCACCCAAATCTCATATAATTAATCATCAAATGATTACAATTGCATGTGTATATTTTAATAACCAATCATAGTAAAATAACAAGTATCCATACGTCATAAGTGAATTATTTACAAGCTCACATATGCATTTTAGTAGTTAACAATGGCAAAATAATTATTATCCATATAAAAATTTAAAATTTAAAATTAATTTACATTATAGAAGCGAATACAAAAATTTACAAGTATTAAGTGCAAGTGTTTTGACAACTAACAGTAGCTAAATAACAACTGTGATTGGAGAACTTGACTTAATAGATTTAAGCAATTTGACTTAAAGTTTTGTCTTAGTAAATAATATGTGCGAGCTTACTCATATTATTTATCATTTAATTGAACTCCTAGAAAATCTAACAAGTGTTCCAAGCATTGTGCCAGTTAAGAATAACACTGGAAAAAGAAAGTCGTTGTGCTTGAAACAGCTTCTCATCCTGTGATAATCAATGGGATTAAGAGCAGTGGCAAGAAGTTTGATGAGAACCTGGGCGTGCTTGAGTTGAGGCAAAACCACACTTTCTTCAATCTTTAACACTTGTTTTGTTCTTTCATATTCACAGTACATCCAAGCTTTCATGTGAGGAGGTACAGAGCTATCTCTTGACGAATCCGCCATGATCATCAATCTATCCCTTCATGGTGGTGGCAAACCCCAACTTAGAAACACACACACACACACACACACACAACAATCTTGTTTATTGGTCAGCTTGTTTGGTGGCTACTACTATCTTCGGTCTTTAATATAAGAGCTAAATAACTAATTTGAGTGGATTAAGGATGTTTGTTAACTTTGTTATTTGTAATAAATATGTGGTAATTATCTTCCTTCAAATACCTTTGCTAATCATGTATATTAGTTAGAACTACCATTTGATAGAACATTTAATATGTGTAACTGTTACAAAGATTATTTTGAAAAAAATAGATAAATATGAGGGACAAAGTGGATTAAGATCTTATATTGAAAACCAAATTGAATGTCATAGGTAGTACTTTTCTTTATGCATTTCCTAAGAAGGTTCATCTTCTTTGACTTTCTGTTTAAGAAGGTCCTTCGTTACGTTTCAGGTTTTGGTCATGTCCATTATATTATTGGATCTTATGATTTTTGAAACAATAGAAACGATAAAACCTGATTAGGCAGTTGAATGATTCATATGTTACCGTTTTCTCATAGGAATACTGGTCTTCGTTTATCGTTTATTGGAATTCTTTCATGCCTTTTCTCTTTCGTTAGAAAGTTTCATCATCTCTGACTTGACAACCGCGAGAAGTTCCTTTATTCTCGCCTGGACGCAATTTTATTAGTCCCCATTCACTTCGTTTTGTCTTGACATTTTATTCATTCGGAAAAATTAGAAAAAATAAAAAATCCTCATTAAAAACTTTATTGGAGAGAAAAAAAATTGATAAATTTTCATACATAGAAAATATTAGTACTTAGTAAATTTCATATGTAATATATAAAAAGTACTAGGTCCTGATAAAGTTTTCAGTTGGGAACTTTTCATTTTCAAACAAACTCGTGTCCATCATACATCATATTCTCTATTTTCGCTCAGGTTAACGTGTATCAGATTGATGCCCATCCTTTGATTTCTTTCCATTCTTATAATATGCAATCAAACTAGAATTTCTTCATGTCTGTGACCCCACTAATTAGCCTTAAATTAATGGTAAACCTAAACTAAAATTCTGATAAGACTATCACCTACTCATCTCTTTTTCTTTCTTATTCTTCGACATGTTCTTAAAATAGAACTGTAAAACAAACAAAATCGTATTTCTATAATCTTTCTATTTTTTATTCTTCTCATCTTATGTGACTATTTTCAAAAGTTACTCAAAATAACTTACCAAAATAATCAAAAATTAACTAAAAATGTAACGAAAGCTGTTCTCTATTTGTTATATCGAGATTTCATTCGAACTCAATTATTTTTGGCAATTTTATACTTGTGCTTCATCCACGAATGAAAGCTTTATAATTTTTTTTAAAAAATAAAAATATTAAAAATAAAAAATTTAGATCATTTAATCTTAATTTGAAAATATTAAGTTAAAAAGTTATACTTATCTTCTGCAATTTCCAAATACATGAAATCCAAGAAAATATTTGGGAATGGATTGAATTTTCTAATTTAATTATTTTATCAAAATCTTAGCGTATACTAATCCTATATGAGACAATGATTATAGAATATTGTCCAAATAAAATTAATGTAAGCATAAACATGATATATCATAAAAAATGTGTAAAAATATATAAAATAGGTAAATTTGTATTTGTGCAAATAATAGAAATGCATATGACACGTACTCAATACTACTGCCTATATTTTTTTTTTGACCGGATTATACTACTGCCTATATTATATATTATAAACATGGGTAAAATATTTCAAAATATAACTATATGTGCCATAATTATATCTTAATAATATTATATTTGTTTTAATTATATAGTTATAATTAATATATATTCTATTTATAAATGTTATATATATATATTAAGGAAAAATCAGTAAAGGAATGTAAAATCACCCATCGATATATGAATAGAACGTTTATGCATATATTTACTGGGATTGGTAAATTAATGTACACGGAAAGAAAAGGGGAAACGTCTTAAACTAGATCGAGGACCTAAAATTAATGCCAAGATAAGTAGTAACAGTGAACAAAAAATATCTAATGACATTATCATCTACTCAGCAGTGAATCTATAAACCATGAAGTGCTTATATGTCTCTCCTGGTTTTAGAATCTGTGATGGGAAATCTGGCAAGTTCACTGGATCCGGGAAGCCTTGTGTCTCCAATGCAATAGCAGCATATTTGTGATATATAGTTCCACCCTTACCTTTCTCACCCTTTAACATGTTGCTAGAATAAAACTGCACCCCAGGTTTATTTGACCATAGCTCCATCTTTCTCCCAGAAATTGGGTCCTTCACTATAGCCACCCTGTTAAAGTGCTTTGACATGTTCTTATCCAACACATAGTTTATATCATAGCCCTCAGGAAGATCATGAATCTTACTTCCAATTTCTTTAGGTTCTTGGAAATCATATGGGGTTCCCTTAACTTCCTTGAAATGACCTGTGGGGATGAGTTGGTCATTTACTGGTGTGATTTTTGAACCAAATAGCTGAATGGTATGTGAGAGAATGTCTCCACCGTCATGGTCCTTTAGATTCCAGTAAGTATGCTGAGCAAGATTCACTGGTGTGGCTTTGTCAATGGGCTTGGCTTGCATGATTACAAGGAATTTGTTTGTTTGAAAAAAAAACGTAAGTCACAGAAACCTCAAGTTCCCCAAGAAAGCCTAGAGAATTAATGAGGGTTGAAAAAAATTAATACGGGAGATTATTATAATCACAAAATACTTAGAGTTAAGATACATTCAGTACCTTGAAGTATTTTCTCATATGTATGCATCACCTTAAAGTATTTTGTGATGCATCCAGCACTTCATAGTATTTTCTCATATGCATTTAGCACTTTAGAGTATTTTATAATATATTTGACAACCAAGACACCCAGAAATATTTTTAAGTGTATCTAGCATCTTAGTACTAGATGTACCAAAAAATATTATAGGATGCAGGACACACCTAAGAAAAAATAGTTTAGGCTAGCTGCTGAACGCACTTTAATCTAAAACCCAAGTGTTAGACCAAACAATCAAAGTGATTAAGCTAAAAAGTACCTTCATCACCGTCAGGCATAACATGACTACATGTGATATGACTATCCTCTCTATGGGATGCTACATTCCATATAACCTGACTGTAACCCTTGGGTCCAGGCCACCTGATGTTTCATTCACAGAAGTCAGTATTGAGGCAACATCATATAGTGAAATTAATATGATATGATTCTATGGTTTATAATGACATTATTAGGGTAATAATAAGGAGATAAATGCTAATTATAATGATTAATACGCCATGGAGTGTGTTATTTCCATCATTAGCAGGCAAATGGTAGGTTTTTCCATCCAAAGAGAATTTAGCTCCTCCAATTCTATTTGTCACACGGCCAACAAGTGCACCAAAATATGTTGTATCGTTCTGCAACATCGATCACATGAAATTCTCAATAAAATTTTAATGTCCTACGATTGCACGCACAGATAAACTGTTTGCTTCTTTTGTTTGATAGGATAATGTCTGGAAGACAAACAAACAAAATAGATTCAAATGGAACAGTTCAATCATACCTTGCAATCCTTAACAGAGTCGTAGCGAAGGACAATATCAGCCAAGTTTCCTGGAAAAAGAAGCACCACAAAAAGCATTTTAAGAATACTAAAAGGAAAGAAAATCAATATAAACACAAGAATAGAATACAAACCATCTTTATCAGGTACAATAAAAGACATAATAGTTGCACCAAAGTTAGTCAACTTGACTTGCAAATTTCCTCTCTTGAGGAAATAAGTCCCAATCTTGGGTTCCTCGGCATAAGCCATCGAGAGAAGCACAAACCCCAGGAAAACGCAGAAAATAAACGAAGACTTAGACATGGCCGAAGAAAATGAAAGAAAACCAAAGAAAGCGAGTTCATAGGACTCTATATGTCACAGCAAAAAAATAAAACTCATCTCATTTATATAAGCAGTAGTGATTGAAGATCTAATAGATATTTTCGATATAATAGGAAAAGCTTTCCCTAATAAATCAATGAATATCATAGGTATGAACCACAATATAGATATATAATTTATTATTTATTAATTTATTAAATCATGTACTCCTAATATTGAAAAAACATGGTATTATACTTTAAATTTGTATTTCATTCATATTTTTATTTCTAAAATAATATTAATAATATAAATTATGATCCTAGTTGATTGATTAGAAAAGATAATTAGTACTATATCTTAGTATATCATCTACTTATACTCTATTTGAATTATTTAAATTGAAATTGTTGTTTATTATTTTTTTTATATTAACAATGTATTTCTATCTTCTTATATCTTTGTATTCTCCTTATCTTATGTGATTATTTTAAAAGTTATTTGGAATAACTTCTCAAAATAATTAGAAATCAATTTTTTTAGATTCTAATTACTTTTATAGTTTAAGCAAATAATTGGATATCCAATTCTAATCCTGATGGATGTATCCTAAATTACTAGCGGTGTTAACTCATTTTATTGCTTATATATTGATTGGATAAATTTTTATACAGAAAATATTTATACTTTGAACGGAAATCTGTTTTACCGAATAATATTATTTTCATTATATCGTAAATATATTTAAGATTGATTAACTAAATTTTTTGTTAGTATTTGTTTGTGATTATGAATAAAACAATTATTCAAATCTAAAAAACGTCTTTCTCGCTAATACACACGATACCTACGCAAAGTGTCTGCCATCCGCAAGCTTATAGTTAAAAATTAACATTGCTCTTATATTCCTTCATTAAATTTCTGTCTAACCCAAATTCCAATGACATTAAAGTATCTACATACTCCTCTGGTCCTTAATGTATAATCTAATTAACTATTTTGAGTAGTTTAAATATGCTAGTTAAACTAGTTAATATGATATATTCTTTCTAAAATATTTCAAGTATCTTTTTTAATTCTCT